TGTGGGCGGCTTTGCTATGAAAACCAACAACAAACCCCCCCACCCCCCCTCCTGGTTTCACACATGTTGACTTTGTTTTCAGGTCACAGATGTTTTTGACTCTTCAAACAGAACTGGGTTAGTTTTTAGTTTTTATTTGGTTTAAATTAAAACTCTTGGGCCATGACTTTGACAACCCCCCCCCCCCTCTCCTCCCCCTCTCGTCCCACGGTCTCAGTCCGGTGATGCCACAGGTGGTTCCGGCTCTGGGTTTGTCCTGGTCCAATCAGGTCTTGATTCGACTAATGATGCGTCGTCTTCAGAGGTCGGTGCACAGAGGTCATCAGAGGTCAGCCGTCCGTCAGCTGGTTGTAGAGTTCGCTCCTCACCTGAGCCGGGGGGGCCAAGAAGCCGCGGTCTGGAGGGAGGGGGTACGAGGACTGGTGACTGTGTCACATGGTCAGGATGAGACTTGACTTCCTGTTGATGTCGGTCTCCAAGTACTTCCTGTTTTTGTGACTGATGAAGATCAGACCAGCGAGGAAAGTAGAGACCAGCTGAACCGTTCTCTTGTTTTTACAACTGGTCCTTCAATAAGCAGCACCAGCGGCAGGAGCTGAACCTTCAAAGCGTCATGGCTTCAGTGACAAATGTTTATTCAAGAGAGATCGATCCAAACGGCTCTTCAACATGCATTTTATATTGTTTCTAGGTGGCGCTAAACTACTCAAATCTTTGGAACCAGTCAAGCGGCCATTGACTCAACACTGAGCCAAACATTTTGAAGTGTAAAGTTGTGCAGCGATGACATCATCAGTCACATGCTCACCGGTGTTTTGATTATGCGGGCAGTGGTGTCTTCGTGGTTAAGGAGGCAGACCTGGGTCTGGAAGGTTTCAGGTTTGAGTCCACCAGCTGCCAAGTTACCACTGAGGTGCTCTGAGCATGGCACCGTCCCCTGCCCCCTGCTGGCTGTGGTCATGGGTTATGGTTGTGTGCAGCGGTTCACTTTCCTTGTTTTAAATCGCAGCTTCAGAAAGATCGACACAAGTGAAGGAAACTGTTGCTGTGATGAAGAGCCAATAAATAAATAAATAATCAGATGTGAGGGTGTGTTGATTTAAAGACATAATGAGGTCAGAGTTAAAACTTTAATTCATGTTAAATATCAAACTGTACAAAGAAAAAAAACAATAAAAACAAGAATATAAACTATTAAAAAACCTTACAATCAGATCTGTCTGCACTACCACGACAGCCTGTAGGGCGGCATCGCCAATTTACATTTAGAATATCGAAACCAGCATCCAGTTATCACACCAGTCCACCAGGGGGCATCCTCAGAAGTCTGCGTCCAATCTGAAGGCATTGTCGGAGCTCCCAGCCATCACCCCCATCCTCTGGTACTCCCCCACTCTCTTCTCAAAGAAGTTGGTCTTTCCCTCCAGAGAGATGTTCTCCATGAAGTCAAAGGGGTTCTCCACCCTATAGATCTGAGGAGGTCAGAGGTCACAACACTGTTAACTAGCTAAGGAGGAGGTCAGAGGTCACAGTGACAGCAGTAAGTAGAGTGTGTTCAGATGGGCGTGGCTCTAGTCCTGCTGACATCCATCAGTGGACCACTGGTCCTCTGATCAGACTCTCAGCAGAACTCAGCTCTCATCATCAGCTGACATCGGTACCCCTGCGCTTCTCATCACCACACACCTGAGCTAGCTTAGCTACATTAGCATCAGCAGCTCTGCTGAGTGTGTGTGTGTGTGTG